GAAAGGGATGTAGTGTGTGAGCAAAGAAGCTAAGACCATAGAATCTGGGTTGGAAAAGACCTCCAAGATCATCAAGTCCAACCCTACCATGGTCACTAGACCATGGCACAAAGTGCCACATCCAGTCTGAGCTTGAAAACCTCCAGGGATGGTGAATCCAAGATGCAAACATTTCTTTTATTAATAGCATCTCTGAATTCTCCTTTGCTGGTTTATTTTATTTTAAAGTATACAGATCACAGTAATTTTCTAGGCCAATGTTCCAATCAAATCTAGATTTCTCTTTACCCAATATATTAAAGTGCAATTGATTTCAATTCAATGACATTGATATTGTCTCCAATGTGGTTTTGAAGGCTGTTACCCCAAAAAATATCCTGGTGTTATGGTTTAGGGCTTTTTTTATTGGTGGTTTTACACCAAACAATCTGTCAGGGTTGCTAGGCTAAAGATAAAATAATTCCTTAAAAACTGCATTTCAAAAAGCAAATGCACATCTCAGCCACATGATCTGAAACTGATTCAGCCTATGGAACTCTTACTCCTTGCTCTGAGTTAACTCCCTTGTTCTGAAGGGAGTTCAGTGGCTATTAGAAGTAGTCACTGATGTAGATTCCATCTTGTTTATGAAAACAGTTGGAACAAAGCTTTGATTGTCCAGAGTTCACAAAAAAAAAAAGTTAAAATCTATAAAATGTTGGCATTGCTATTTGGGGCTTGAGAATGACATGCATATAAATCACAGTGTGTTGGCACAGGATTTTATACCCAGAGAAAAAGCTTTGCTGAGAATGGACTCAATTCCCTGCTTTGATAGCTTTGTTTTCAAAGTATATAACCACAGCCTCAAGCTCTGCCAGGGGAGGGTTAGGTTGGATATTAGGAAGAGATTTTTTTATATAGAGAGTGCTCAGGCATTGGAATGTGCTGCCCAGGGAGGTGGTGGATTCACCATCCCTGGAGGTTTTCAAGCTGAGACTGGATGTGGCACTTAGTGCCATGGTCTAGTGACCACAGTAGGGTTGGACTTGATGATCTTGGAGGTCTTTTCCAACCTGGTTGATTCTATGATCCTTTATCATTTAGGACATCACTGCGTTGCTTGATCCATGGCTGGTTCCTGTCCTGGTCCAGTCCCAGATGAGATGTCATCCAGTCCAAGTCTGTCTCTACATCCACACTGAACAAGACCTGGCAGTATTATTTGTTGGTTTAAAATGGATCCCAATGGCAAATAAATGTTTAAGTCTCACTGAACAAAATGATCTAATTCTCTTGGATTTTGAGTAGTTCAGTCTGAGGAACAGGAGGATATTAAAGGTGTTGGTCACTAAAACTCCTTTGTTTAAAACATTTGGGTTTAGAAGCTTCAGTTGTGTTAGAACTTGTAGGATAGCTGCAGAACATGAGCCTCAAAGGGTTTCCACTGGATGGTGGAAAACCCAACAGCACAAACTCCCTAGGCCCATTCACCTCCTGAGAACAGAGCACTCTGTACTTGCATTCTTGCAGTCCTGAAGTGTCACTGAGGTTACACCAGAGTAAAACAAGAGAAACAGCAATGAACCAGCCCAGGAAGTCTCACAGATAATTCTTTCCTGTTTCTTTTCCAGTAGCAAAATTATTGGCAGCCACGAGGGATCAATGCTGCAGCCTTGAAGTGCTGCACTGAAGAGCAAACACTCCAGCAGTCCAAGCAGTTTTCTGTTAAGTCATTCTGCTGGACTGCAGGGCTTGAGGGTGGGATTCTCCCCAGTGCAAAATCTGGCAGTGCCACAAGGCTAAGTCCTTACTATTTCTTGGAATTTTAGTAACAGCCATAAAATTCATTGTTGGCACCTGAAGCTTTAGGAGCACTGAACAAATGAAACAATCAACCCTCAATCCTGCAGCTCTTCTCCTCATGTGATGCTTATTAAAATCCATGTGCTGAAGTGCTTTGTGAATGGCTTCCAGAATTTTCGGGCTGAAAATCAGGTTCATAAATCCATGTCTAAATTTTTTAACAGGGTTATGCTTGTTTTGCAAATTTCTTGAGCTTCTGAAGATTGCAAATGCTAGAGCTTTTGGAAAGCAAAAAGACCAAGCCAATTAATGCAGGTCTTAAATGTGAATTAGAGTCTGCCTTAAAAGCATCTGCTAGAGTTGTCCATTGTAGGTGTCAGGACTAGTCCTGTGAAGGCTAAAGGAGGTATGGTCTGGCAGCCTTGATGTGTTCTGAGTTGATCCTAGTTCCCTGGAGCTAAAATACCACAGGAGAGCTGATTGTGATGCTGTACATATGGCTAATCAGGATAACATCTATTCCATCAAGTTTGGAAACTTGACCCACAGACTGTTAAGTGATATTCCCAGTGGAAGCAGATGATTTCCATTCCTCTTAACAAAGTGGTCCATCACAGCTCACTGGGCATAAGTCATTCAAAATAGCCTGTATTAAATCATTTCATCTTAAAAAAAGAAGTCAAGGAAAAATTAAATGTAGGAGGTCAGAAAACTAGGAAGAATGACTTGCAAAATCACAGTCACTTTAACAAGAGCTTGGCAATGTGTGTAAGTCTGAGCAGGTCAAGGGAGGTGATTTTTCCCCCCTACTCTGGTGAGACCCACCTGGAATACTGCACACAGTTCTGGTGTCCTCAACATGAGAAGGACATGGAACTGTTGGAGCAAGTCCAGAGGAGGCCACGAAGCTGCTAAGAGCACTGGAGCATCTCCCTGTGAGCACAGGCTGAGGGAGTTGGGGCTGTTCAGCCTGGAGAAGAGAAGGTTGTGTGGAGACCTCAGAGCAATTTTTTAATATCTGAAGGGGCTCCAGGGAAGCTGCAGAGGGATCTGTGTTAGGAGCTGCAGGGACAGGACAAGGGGCAATGGGCACAAATTAAAGAAGGGGAAATTTAGGTTAGATGTTAGGCAGAAGTTTTCCCCGTGAGGGTGGTAAAACCCTGTCCCAGGTTGCCCAGGGAGGCTGTGGCTGCCCCAGCCCTGGCAGTGTTCACAGCCAGGTTGGCTGAGCCTTGAGCAACCTGCTCTGGTGGGAGGTGTCCCTGCCCAGGGCAGGGGGTTGGGCTGGATCATCTCTGAAGTCCATTCCAACCCCTAAAATTCTCTGACTCTCTGACTCTCTGATTGCAGATGTGCCTGAGCCAGCCCAGCTTGTCTGCACACATAGTGGGTAATACCCAAATTCAGCAATATTGTGTTTCAGGCCAAGGATTCCTCATTTAGAGCAGGCAATTCATGAGCTTCTTGTGCTTGTCTTTGGTGTCTGAGCATATTTTTATGTCAGGATCTGTTTAGGGGAGCCAAAACTTTTCACACTAATGGCAGTTGCAGAACTGGGTGAGAGAGATCTAGAGAGCCTGAAGGCTTGGAAAAAAAAAACAGAGCATGGAGACAGGTAAGAGACAGTTATCAGGACAAGGACTCGTGCATGTATTGGGATAGTTAGCGTGGCAGGGAGTGTGTGGTTCAGCCACACTGTCCTCTACTGGCTAAGCCTGGAGCTCAGAAAATGATGTTTTCTTCATGCTGTTTTCATTATTTGCTGCCCAATTTAAGGCATTTCCACAGACTCAAACTTTCATCTCCTTCACCTCATCTCTCTCTGCCCTCAATACTTCTAATACCCAAGAAAACAGACTCGTTATGGCTATCAAAACTTCATGATATTTACTCTCCTGCTCTTAAGACCTTTGTCAGAATTGAGAAAGAGTTTCAGTATGGGGAATTTCAATCAACTTCATTTATTGTGAGTTAACCAACTTTTAATTACTGATTCTGATATTTGAACAGCAAAACATCTTTGGGAAAAGGATTTCAGCTTCCCCCTGTGCTCCTCTCCTTCCCTTTTGCTGACTGCAGTCCCCTCACTGTCACTGCCCTCAGGGCCTGTGGGAAGGTGAGAGTTGGTGCAGGAGTTGGGGGTCAGCACATATTCACTGCTTTTCTTTTTCCACTCGTTGCTTCATGCTCAGTTGCCCCAGTTTGGATTCCTTCCCCAACCAAAACATCCGAGTTGAGCTTCCTCCTCCTTTCTCTGCCAGTTCTCCTCTCTCCTCCTGCTCCAGTGCGTTCTGCTTTGTCTCCCTCCTCCTCTGGTTGTGTTGTCACTCTCTCAGTGTCACTCTTCCCTACAAAAAAAATTTTCACAGACAGAAACTTCTCCAATCCCTTCGGCGTTTCAGGTAGATGTGTCTGCAAACACTGCATCTGGCCCAGGGTGGGCTGTGACCTCCTCCCACAGAGACTACCCCAGTGCCAATGTTGCCCAGTACACACCTCAAGTCCTCATTGGTAGTAATAATGCAAAAATCTGGCTGACTTCTAGTTCTACATTTTCTCCAATCTGGGGATAGAAACTTCTCCAATCCCTTCGGCGTTTCAGGTAGATGTGTCTGCAAACACTGCATCTGGCCCAGGGTGGGCTGTGACCTCCTCCCACAGAGACTACCCCAGTGCCAATGTTGCCCAGTACACACCTCAAGTCCTCATTGGTAGTAATAATGCAAAAATCTGGCTGACTTCTAGTTCTACATTTTCTCCAATCTGGGGATTTTTTTCCTTCAACAAAGCCTTTACATTTCTGGATACAAATATTTCTGGTATCTTTGGAAACACTGACCTGATGAGATGGAAGATAAGGAGAGTTGTGAGACACTGGCACAGGTTGCCCAGAGGTGTGTGGTGGATGACCCATCCCTGGAAATATTCAAGGCCAGGCTGGATGGTTCTTGGAGCAACCTGCTCTAGTGGAAAGTGTCCCTGCCTGTGGCAGGTGATTGGAACTAGATGATCATTAAGGTCCTTTCCAACCCAAACCATTTTGTGATGTTATACATCTAAATGACAGCAGATCTTTCCACCTCTGCATGTCCCCTGGTGTGCTGCTCCAGAGGGTTTCAACTTGCAAACTGACTGCTCTGTGCTCTGTGTGGGTCCTGCAGACCCCAACAACGTGTGGGTCCTGCAGATACCAACACCTTATGTGCTGCTTTCAGGTTCTGGACGAGAGCTGAGACCAGCTGAGCCTCCTGGAGATGCTGATGTGGATGCAGAGGATGAAGATTCTGTGAGTTCTTTAAAGATGAATTGTTGGGTTTTTTTGTGATGAGAGTTTGGCTAGATGGGATCTTCAATATTTTGTTTATAGCTGGTTCTTGTTGGTGATTTTCCTCCCTATGAAAAATGTGTTTCACTTAGGCTTGTCCTGCTAGGAAGATGTTTCAGTATAAGGCACCTGCTCTTTGCCATGATTTGCCAGCAGAAGTTTAGTGCCAAGACTTAGCAAACTATTACATGGACGTTAACTACTGTAACTTTTCTTTAAAGATTTAGCTAGTTTAGGTTCTCTGTTGTTTGACTCCAGAAGGAAACACACCAAACACTTGTCAGCAGAAATTCCTG